TATTCCCTTTTGCAAGTGAGGAGATAGAGGCTTTGAGAAGTTGAATTGACTATGCTCACCAGACAATGTCAGAGGCAGGATTAGACATTCTGCCTTTTGCCATTTGTACAACCATATGCTATGATAAGTTTCACCTCAAAATAATCAGTCTGAAAATCAAGGAGAAATATAAGATGATTTGTTCTTAAACAGCCAACTTAAGACTGGCTGCAGTTAACAGAAAAATTCCCTTAAGGAATAGAGTAGGATTCCCAAGAGCATGCCAGCAGTTTAGCTCTGTGCATGGAATACAGAGTTAAGGGGCATTTGCCTCCTAGCATTTAGCCTTCCTGTTGATTCATAAGATGCAAATGAAATGTAAATGTTAAAACCCTGTGGGGAAAACTACTTATTTTCAGAGGAAAAATCTGAGAGCCATCCTAGAATACTGTAAACGCGAGGAGAACTAGACAGAGAGGCGCTGGGGGAAAAAAAATCACAGAAGATGGAGTTTAATAATTTCAAGCACGAAAGGAAAGGAATTCAAAGATCAGGGTCTGCGTGTGCGCTTGCGCGCTCGCGGGTGTGTGTGTGTGTGTGTGTGTGTGTGTGTGTGTGTGTGTTGTATGAAGCTTCTGCCTGCACACTCAGACACCCACATCTGCACTCACAGGTAGCTGGTCTTTTGAAGATCCAGCCCTCTGTGACTAGTTAGCATTCTCTGCTGGAGACTGGCTTCTCACAGGGGATGACCCTGCCATGCTCGAAAGACCATTTAATTCCCTGGCGAGGTGGTTCAGGGACCAGGATTTTATTATGCTACTGGCATAAGAGTTGTAATCCCACATTCCGGAGTTAGAGCCACTTAGGGCCCCAACAGCTCCACCCTGGTGTTTTAGAGGAAAATATTCCTTCATGCTTTCTGCCTGAACTGAAAGCGACACGGATTCCTGATGCTAAGCCTGGGAGGAGGTCGAAGCTTTAGAAATTGCCGGAAAAGCCTGCCCATCTGCTGGGTGCCTGGCTTTCTAGAATGGACCAGGAGGAGTTGGCTTTTAATCCGAGGAACTCTGGATTTTGTTTTGTAACTTGAAATCGTCGCCAATTACAAATAAACGTGACACTTTTTAAAAAAAGGGGACATGGGGAAATTCCGTGCGACGAAATGGGGTATGGTAGAGAGTTCCAATTGTCACCGGGAGGGAGCTGAGGACTGAGGGAGGGGGCAGAAGTCTTTTTTGGCTTTTTGGTACTGGATACTTGACTAAATGATCTGCTCTGAGGAGGTGTGCGCTAGCTGGGAGTAGGGGTAGAGAAGAAAGGCAAGCTAGAGAAGTGAGGAAGGAGTTTGTCCCGGGGGAGAATTTTTGTCTACCAGCCAGTCGCCCTTTCCACCTTTTTGGACCAGTCCTGGTCCAAGAGGACCAAAGGCGCTCGCTCGCCTCACCCCCACGGGGCTGCCCCAACAACTCTTCGGAAGCTGAAGGCGGTACCGTCGCCGAGGAGAAAAAATCGCTAGGACTGAGCCAGTGAGTGGGCTTCCGGGTGCAAGAAGACAGCTATGTGACTAGGGGGAGCGGAGAGCAGATGGTCACAGACTGTGTGTCATGGGGGCGCTGAGAAACCCCAGGCAAGATGCAGCCCGCGGCAAATCCAGCTCGGCGGTGCCTAGGCTCTCAAGCCCGCTCCGGATTGGC